TTGACACTATATGATTGGAAAAAAAATGACATTCTCTTATAACTCATTCTATTCTATCCATTTCCGGTAGTAGGGATGCCAACTGCTCTACGATGAGCAAAAATTGATGTATCATCCCAAATAATAGATTCACCATTCGGGGGTAGGGGGATTGGCAGTTGGTATTTGTTTCTAACTGATTATGGGGATTGTCCTAATAAAATATGACAGAATATTCAATGACAAGAAATAGTTATACGAAGAAATAAAAAATATTCCTTGATTAACATTTAATGATTATGGAAATTGAAATCCATGCAATGTCCTACTACATTCTTGGCTCTATGTGATAGATAAAGTAGAATACATTATTTTCTTTAGGAGAAATGACCGAATAGATAGGAACTAATGTTTTCTTGGCTGAGCAACTTAAAGGGAGAGTACAGGGGCGGGTTGGGGGCATGTTATCCTGAAATAGCTCTCAAGGATGTATATACACTCATCTTTACCTTCACAAAAATTTTGGAAGCTTTCCAATTCTACTTCACCCGCATTAATTGAATGTCCTTTATTGTTTTCTTTGTGTAGAAATCCTAGGGATGAATTATGATTGATCATGATTGATATATAATTGATTAAATATTTCCATAACTTAGGCTGAATGTTAGGCTAATTTCTTGTATCAAAATTAGAAGATTATTTTTTCCTTTTTTATTTTTATTGTTGTACTATAAATAGAGTGTAATAGGTGTATACAATTTAATCAAGGAATAAAGAAAATTCTTATTTCATTCTTCATGGTATCAGAGCCAATTTTCTCCTAAATCGAGCTAACAATGGTTGATGCCTCCGTCAACAACCAGAAGTCGGTGATTTCGGGAACTCGCACGAGTCGAACCGAGAAATAGTAGGGAGAGAAAAATACTCGATCCACTTCACTCCACGCCACGCATCAGCATCTCAAATTCAAATCAATTGGAAAAGATCATGAAGATGTTAGGATTTTGAAGATTATCCAACGTTGTGGGCAGCCACAGTATCTGATTCTACCGAATTGGAACTCTACACGTGGAATTTCTATTCATTTCACCCATTCCCGTGAGAGCAACAGATATCTAACCAATCAAATGATGTCTTTCTAATGTTTGGGTTACGCTACCATTTTTATTGTATGAATATATTGTTGAAAATGATTATGAAAATTAAAGGCAGACAAATGCTAAATATATTCACACCACAATTTTTAATAAATAGAATCCATTTTACTTGTATGTAAAGTTCAATTTTCAATGGGGGGGCGCCACAGATTGGAGTCCAATAGGGGGGCGCCACATAGGCACCCTGTTTTGGGCCGGGCCCAATATTTTAATTA